ACCCTGCATATGTACTTCCGCCAGGGTGCAGATTGAGTGCTAAAGCGCTCACATATTATGACTGCGCATGATGTCGAGTGCCCTCGAGTTTTAAGGGTAAGTATTCTCATGCTGACTTCGTCCATGAGTGTATTCCGAGCTCGATCTGAGGTCGTTATTATACCCTCTGATGATATTACTGGTCCATGTTAATATCCTCGAAACAGCCTTTGATCCAAGGACGCACAGTGACCTGCTATCTCAAACTCTAGACTACTCCTGGTACTACATACACGGTGTACGATAAAATGCAATATACGTACTTAATGTAAAGCGACATGTGCATATTTATGATGTCCCATTGAGTAGGTCTCGCAATATAGGCCTGCCCTTAAGAAGGCCTTCATCAACACCACCCCTTCGAGGTTTCTTACTGCTCCTGGAAGGTGCCCGTGGGCTTGGTGAATCATCGTCTTGAGTGAGATCAATAACAGTTCGTTTCCGAGGTGTGGATGTGGGAGTGATAAGACTAGAGTGTATGGTATCTGCATTCGGAGGCAGTTGCAAGATCCATCCCTTGCTATCCATGAGTTCAAAGAACTCTTTGAGCAGTGGCTCAGCTTGGAGAGTGCTGCGGGATCCAAAGATAACGAGCTTGGAGCGAGCGCGTGTGAAGGAGACGTTGATTCTTCGCCAATCCTTCAGGAGATCACCCACCTAGAGAGCGGTCAGCGCTAGCTTTCGAACAACCATCGCTCTGCACTCACCTGTCCCGAGTCGTTCGAGCGAACCATGGAGATGATGATTACCTCTTTATCACGACCTTGACTTCGGTCAGCCGTAAGAATCTCAATACCCTTGTGATCTTGAAGTCGGTGCGAAAGGAGCTTGATCTGCTGCCGGTATAAAGTGATAACTCCAATATTCTCCTCCGCCACCCCACAACCTACGAGACATTCAGCCACTTGATGGACTAGATTGGCCTCTGTGATGTTTTGGGTTAGGTCGCCAACACGGGAGTCTCGAGCAGGAACGTCATCAGTGTCCACAAACACAACTTTGCACCTAATTTAGTGATATATGTCAGTGGCGGTACGAAACACATGGCTTATAGCGTACTTCTCGTTTAGAAGATGTTCTATCCAACAACCGTGATTAGAGCACCTCTTCGTCGTGGAATCATGAAGCCGGTCAAGGAAGTCAAAGTTAGACAGGCGTAGGCTACGCTTGGCTACGGCTTCAGAGCCACACCGTAGACGGTCACTATATATGAGCCTATTGGATAGAAGCATGATATCTTCGTTCATCCTGTATTGGTCGGTGAGATCCACGACTGCTTCTGGATGAGCCTCAGAAAGACGCTTGAATAGGGATACGTCCAAGCCTCCACGCTTCGCCTCTCTGCTTCGGACCTGCTTAAGTGTTAGAAGCTTTATGAGGTACATAGAAACAACACTCACAAGAGGGGGGAGCTGGAAATGATCTCCCACGAGCACAAACTTGTCGGCCAACCGAAGTGGTCCAAGACAGGTCGGTAGCGTCACTTGAGAAGCCTCGTCAACGATGCAGTAATCGAACTTTCGCCTCGAGAAGAGGGGGCTATGCAACAGTATGTAAGTTAAAATCGCAACAATGATTGTGATTACTTACTGATCAATCGAGAGACAAGTCGTAGCAACGACGGGTGGTGACATCACCTGGTTCTCCAACTGTTCAATCGTTGTCGCAGGTTTAAGAGCCGCAAGCGTAAACTTGTACACGTCGGGATGAATCTTGTCGACATTTCCCAGCCTTAAGATTTTGAAGTCGACGTGTTTCAATTTTAAGAGAATGGTGTCCACCGCAGAGTGAGTGTATGAAGTCAAAAGTACGCTTTTACCCTGACACACGAGTAGAAGGATTAGAGCGGCAATGACAGTCGTCTTCCCCGTTCCGGGCATTCCAAGGATCAGAGAATAGTCCAAAGTGCTTAACACCTTGCGTATAGCCGCTTCTTGGTTCTTGTTGAGTAACTTGAGGACTTTGGCTACTGCTTCGTGCTCTGGTGCGAGGGGACCAGATGGTTCCTCTGTGAAGCGAGGTGCACGAAGGTCGACTACAAGTTCTAATCTCTGGGTGTCGCCGTCTGCGTAGAAAAGACATGCAAGGTTTTCTCGGATGCGTCCCATGCCACCGAATAGCTCGTCCTTGTCAATACGGAAGGCGATGGGAGAACCGTCTTGTCCCAAGTATGGACGACGAGCACGGATAACGCTAAGGCTGAGCTCGTGATCCACGCCAATGACTACTTCGTCAGGCGTGAGAGAAACGATAAAGCCTCGCACAAGAGCAAGTAGGTCAGGCTCCACAGAAACGGTAACAGCGTCGCCAACGCTCATATGCCCGTTTAAAAGGGAATCTCCGGGATTGTGGATCCCAAGCAATGCATTTGCTTTGACGAAACGGTAGGTGAACTGGTGTATCCTGCTTTCGCGTTTAGATACTGTCTGTGGAGTAGAGATGTCATGCCGATATAGCTCATCCAGGATCATATCTGCGAAGCAGCGTCCGTGTGATTGACGTTCTTTAGCAGTCATAGTCCAAAGTTCCTTGCGGAAACGGATGAGATCGTGCTCTTCGAGAGATATAAGGTATTCCCATTTCTTGAAGAATTCGGCTTGGGTAGGGGTGATGTGGGATGTTTTAAGGGAATAGATGTCTGAAATTGGGGAAGACGTATCACGGACGCGTTCGACGGCCTAAGGGTCGATTAGAGTCAATACAAAGAATCCTTATAAAGCCGAGAACTTACTTTGCGATATAACATACAGGTATTGACAACGTAGCATCGTCCACAAATCCTTGTATCATTGATTGTAGGCGGCAAGAAGTCCTCAACATCCTTGATCCCCTCCTTCTTCTGGCCCTTCTTTTCTGAGGGTATCCTCCTCATCATATAACCAGCCATCTCGTTACGCTTCTGGATCAATGCGCGCATCTCGTTCATAGTCCTTGGTACACGTACGACTTCATCACTCTGCGTGTAGTACAAAAGACCACTTGGTACGGGTGTCGCATAACGTTCCTCCATCAAGAGGGTGTAGAGCATTGTCTGAGCGCGGTGCTCCATGACCTGAGTGGAACGTCCGGTCTTCAATTCAAGGGGGGTTGGGTGAGTTTGGCTGGCGACACTGAGAGATTCGGATGGTCGCAGAGGAGCATTCTTCCGAGCCTTTGTTGTTGGCCCACTGGCAACTGAGACTTGAGTGTATTGGCGAGAAGTGTTGGTGATGGTGTCCTCGATAATAGCCTGAACAGAGACATCGAGTTTACCTTTGAGTCCGTATTTCGGAGACCAGATATCTTCTTCGATGTCATGGAGACCACTGATCGCAAGTAGGGAGGATTGACCACGCTCGGATCGCGTGTTTGTGAGTATCGCTTCGGGCTGCGTAAAGAGAGGTGTTAAATGAGCCAGCGAGGACGATAGAGACGAACAGACCTTCGGGGTATCGTGAACATATCGTTCTCGGAACGCCTTCAGCCCAATAGCGCGAAGTTTAAGTTCTCGCTTCGCTTGGTCGACGGTAACGTTCAACCTCAATAGATCACCTAAGCCTCTCCTGACTTCCTTGTCTACCTTCTGGTCAATCTCACGTTCATCCCACTCAGATTCACCCTTGGTCCAATCTATTAAACAGCTCTGTGTAATCTCGTGGAGCATGTTCCCCCATACCAACGCGGGTGTCACATCGGAAGAAGAATGTATTAAAGTGGCGAGAATAGGTTTCCGAACGCATGTAGGGGTAGAGGAGAGCGAGGTGGCGGTGATGAGTAGATCAGGGTGGAGGATAAGTAGACCAGAGGTGGGTTGTGAGGTTAACGAAATGCTTGGGAGTGTCGCCGGTGGAGGTGTAGAGGATGTACTTGCTCGAGATATATCGTCTATCGAGGTTGAGCCATTGGAGAAGGTACCGATGATATTGATTTCGTCCCCTGCAGTGCGTAATGAGATTAAAAACTTAGACGAAGATTGGCGGAGGACCTACCATGACGAATGTATACATCAAACCAGTCGTCCTGAAGAATGACGCGTCGATGTTGAGAAGAACTTTCTACGACGACAGTCAGCTCCTATGGGAAGGGTAAGGGCAAGGTCGACGAAATATGTAGGCTTTACTGAAAAAGCTTACTTTCTGGTATAGCCCGTTATCTTTTGTAACCCGTACCTCCTTCACTGTACATCGAGTACTGGGTGGGCGAGGATCATTAGGATGACAATGAGAGTCTTCGTCACTCGTGAATGAAGTCTGTGAAGATACCTGAGAGCGGAATATAAGCTGATGAGTCTAGTTGACCAAGAATATAAACAACAGTATGTCGCTCACTCTAGAGAACGATGTATTATTACTCGAACATGATGTACGCTTCACTGACTTTTTCGGAGTCATGAAATCCGAATCCATGTCTTCCCAGTCCCAGTCCTCAGCCCCTTCCAGGAGAGAACCAAGGCTATCCTTCTCCGAGCCACGATTCTCATTATGCTTCAGCTTAGGTTTCCTCGGGGTCTGGAAGACAGCTTTCTTCCTTATTGGCGAAAGATTCTGTTGGTGGTGAGTGGTGTCAGCGAATGTAGATGCCCTAACAGAAGTACACAGGCTACTTACTGCGAAAGGTTTCTTAGGAGATTTACTAGGTGTCTTTCGCATTTTAGAAGACCGATCTGGTGAGGGTATCGCATCGAAGAACGAGTCGTCGATGCCTGACAAAAGGTCGGTCATAAAAGCTGATTCCTCTGCCTCCGTGTGGCTGGTGGACACCATGGTGGGAATGGTAGGGCCGGCCAGCGAGAGCTATAGAAAATGACAAAAGGGAAAAAAAAAATAGGTTGGCGACGCAAGTTTGAATAGGCGGATCCAAGTACGCGTGAGGCTGGTGGAAGAACGAGTCCAAAGCTGCGACTGGAACGCGCCGTGGCGCGACGCGTTGTTTGCAACTATTTGGCCTCTCCTACTTACTTACCGTAACTAATTGGAAAAATATGGACACACTGGGAATTGAACCCAGCACCCCCCGCAAACACAAAGCTAATGCTAAGCGGATGTGATAACCAACTACACCATGTGCCCATGACAGTATTTGGTTTTATAAAATTATATAATCTAAATCAATTTCCGTAAAGAAAATCATACACTTCGCTTCGATCAAAAAGTTGCGCCTATGACTTTCGAGATGCCTATAGACCGCAAACGCAAGAGAGGGGACCAGCCTCAAATTTCTACGGTATTACTCCATTGTTTCATTCAAAATTGCATGCTCTAATTTGATGCAATAGGAACGTAAACATGCAGTGCATTCTATCGAGGACGAACCGGCAGGATCCTCGCAAGACGAAGCCAATGCAACCTGGGATAGTGACCAGGAGCTAGCCAACGACAGTGACACTTCTTTAGATGATGAAGGAGATGAAGAACACGCATGGGGAGGCTTGAATGGTGTCACAACAAAGTCTGTAGGACAGCACGGGACTGTACCGAAGAAACCACCAACTGGGGAGGAGCTGAGGACAATCAAGGATGCGACAGACTTATACTTATCTAGCTCCTTTAAATTGAAGGTGCGCAATGCTACAAGGACTTGCTCGAGAGATGTAACTAACAGCACACGCTCCATTCAATTGTTAGATTGACGCACTCCTGCCAAAGGTCAGACCTAAATATGACCGATTCTCTCCTCTTGAGAAGTCTCTCCATTCACTGCACTCGCTACTTACGTCTCTGTCCGACGTACCGCCACGAAGCCCTATCGACGCATCTGGCGAACTTCTTCGACGCGGTATCGCGGTTCCATATCCTACCCCAGAGCCGCCTGAAGATACAAAGTGGAAAGTGGCATTCGCAAAGCCGCAAGATATCAGCCTAGTTGGTGGATGGAATACGAAATTGCTGGTGAAGAGGAAAGATGGTCTCCCCTATGTCATTGACCTTGCTGTCGAAATGCCAGACGTGAGTTCTCTACGTTTATAGTCGTCGTTCTGAGCTTATGGTGTTCATTGGCATTGAAGTCACTTTTCCAAGAAAAAGACTACCTCAACAATCGTTTCTTTCACAAAAAAGCATTCTACCTTGCTACAATTGCAGCGGCTTTGCTTCCCCTAGCTAATTCGAAAGAACAAGCTAGCAAGAAGAAAGGGATCAGACAAACTCCGAAAAAAGATTCCCCATTGCTCAACGTTGAACTATCTTGGGAGACAGCCGGAACAGACCTGCGGTCAACAGCTCTGATAATCAAGCACAAACCTGGTATGTATATTGACTGCTCTTAACTGCCTCTCCCGCTAAGTCCGCTATTACAGACGGCTCACTGCACGACTTCTCCTCCCTCAACGTACAAATCCGCGTAATTGCTGTTATATCACCATCGTCCCCCATATCTCTTCACAGACTCTCACCTGATCGTTCGAACATACGATCAGCGCATCCATCTACTACAAAAGACGGAGAGTCTGCTACACCCATATACAACAGCATTCTCCTCCAACACACGATTGCACGTTCCCACCTCTTACGTATGTACAATTTACAAAAGAACGTCCCCGCCTTTGGAGATGCGCTTGCTCTACTCAAAGTGTGGGTGAACCAGAGAGGGTATGGTGAATCCGCAGTCAGTGACGAGAATGTGGGAACGAGGAGTACACAATGGACAGTAAGAGGATTTGAAGGTATGGGTTCTTGGTGGGTTGTCGTCTTGGACTATCTGGTGAATGGCGGGGAGGTGCTCGGTGCCAAGAAGGAGAAGAGAAGGCCTCTGGGACATAGTTTAAGTTCATATCAGCTATTCAGGGCGGCGCTGGACTTCTTCTGTAAGTGGTTTACAGCTTCTGGGATAGGACTGTTAACTTAAATTAGTATAGCGAGACAGGACTGGTCGCAAGAGCGCGTCTTTCTCAGAACTGATCCCTCAGCGAACGCTCGAGTCAGTACGCCATTACTCTTCCGCGTATCTCATATTGCTCACTCAAAAAAACTATTTCTTTAGTTTTCGGCAAACGCTTATGAGACAAATGGGACTGATGCCGTCTTTGCGGACCTTGTTTCGGGTGTAAATTTCCTTTCTGGCGTTCCCTTGGGCTCGCTGGAAATGGTACGTGCAACGACGTAGCGTCTTTATTATAATAATTATTAACTGACGTTCTGATATACTTAGCTCAAATACGACGCACAAATGACACTCGAAACATTGTCAAATGCCAACTGCCCTGCCATGATCAACGATCCATTCGACGAGGTATTCTTGACTGACAAGCGTACTCTTCTTTCGAGGTTTGATGTTGTGATCAGGTGAGTGGCATTGCGTCGCTTTTGTCTCATGTACTAATGGCAAATTGCATAGCATCAATCTCGAGGATGCAAAGTTGAGCTTGCCCCTCGACATTATCGCCGAGTATGGCGGACCTTACAATGCTCTTCTCTCATCTCTCAACACCACCCTACGCTCTGGCTTAGGTAATAGAGCGAAAGCAATCGCTATTTTGCAACCGTGTCCACAGCTCACACCTCTGGATGAACGGTACTCCGTTTCCGAGAACACAGTGCTCCTCGGTATCATCCTCGATATCGAACATGCTCACCGTCTTGTGGACTATGGCCCTCCTGCTGCTGCAGAAGATGACAACACAAAGGATCCGCATTCTGAAGAGAGGGCAAAGTTCCGCGCCTTATGGGGCTCAAAGGCAGAGTTACGTCGGTTCAAGGACGGAAGGATTCTCGAAAGTGTCGTATGGGAAGTCTCAACTGCAGACGAACGAGCACATATCCCATACCTCGTTTGCCAGTACCTCCTGAAGCAACACTTTAGCATTGGGGGCAAATTGCCGAATGCCGTGCAGTGGACGGGCGACGAGTGGGACGAACTGCTGAAACTCAACGGGTCGATAGTCCAGCTTTACCAGGCTGCAAAGGTACAAACAGGATTCAAAGCTGCAATGTCTGCTTTCGATGGACTTGTGAAGACATTGAAGAGCATGGATGATGAGCTTCCGCTTGCGATTCTTAACGTCAGTCCTGTGTCTCCTCTGTTGAGATACACCAACGTGTTCAGTCCTGTGGCTGTTCCACCGTCCTCGCCTCTGCTTGCTTCTTCGTCCTCTGTTACTCTCCCAGCTTGCGCTAGATATGTCCCGCTGGTGGACATCGTGATCGAGTTCGAGAAGAGCGGTCGATGGCCGGACGACCTCAAGGCAATCCAAAAAGTCAAGATGGCGTTCTTAGAGGCCATTGCTGCTGGTCTCGGAAAAAAGGTCAATGGGCTCCACGCACAGATTGTCCTGGACGATGGGGATGCAGAGAGTATCCGAGATACAGCACGACTCGAAATTCTCACTCCCGAAGGATGGGCGTTCTCTGCTCGTATATGTCATGACCGCGAGGCGACATTGCTGGACGATATCATCGACGACAAGCCCCACATTCCGAAGGCCATCAAGAAACGTCTGGAGAAGAACGCCACTCCTCAGGAAATTCAACTTCGCCATGAGGCAATTCAGGCGAAGGAGGTCTACATTCGCAGGTATATCCATGGGCCTAGACATCATAGGGCTGTGGCAGCGTTGTCACATCGCTTCAGCGCGTACACTGGGACTGTCCGATTAGTGAAACGATGGTTGGCAAGCCACTGGTTGCTCGGGGGTCACATACAGGAAGAGGTCGTGGAGTTATTGTGCGCAATTGTATTCTTGACTGGGTCAGGTGCTGCGAAAAGTGAGGGGGAGAAAGAGAAGGCGAGCGTACCTAGCACCAAAGAACGAGCTTTCGCGCTCGTGGTCCAGTTTTTGGCGAAATGGGAATGGGAGGGCGGCCTTTTTGTTCCCATATACGGGAGTGAGGTAGACGGTGGTTCAAGTGCTGCTCCTGAGGTTAGATCTGCTTCTACCAGCCGACGAGGAGCTTGGACTATTCGGACCGAGCGGGACGCAGAAGGTTACATATGGACCGTAAATGGCCCAGATGCCGTCGTTGCGAGACGTATCAAGGATATTGCAAGGGCCACATGGAATAGTTTACAGGTTATTGACGGTACCGACGCTGGGGTCAAGGTGAGTCGCTTTCTCTCCTTGATTGCTGCCCAGACTTAATGTCAGCACAGAACCTCTTCCTCCATCCAACAACGCATTATGAGGTTCTGGTCGGCATCGATCGTGCACATGCCCCTCGGTACTTCCAGAGCGTCGTAGTAGACGAGAACGTCTGGCAGAAAGGCAAATATGCCAACGCTATCAGCAAGGACCACGACACTGAGCTACCCCTCATGCCCGGTTTCGACCCCACACAGTTGCTATTCACAGATCTTCAGGTGAGTTTGTAGCACATCTTACTCGCGAGGTTGCTTCTCACGAGGAAGCAGAGAGTCTACGACGAAACTTTCAAGATCTTCTACGACCCTTATGGTGGCACCACTTTCGGGATTATTTTTGACCCTACACTAAAAGCACCTAGACCGTTCCGCGTAAGAGGCGGGTATAATAGTGCACCTCTAGCCAAGGTACGAGCGCCCTATCTTCGAGCAGTAGGCAAGGTGTATTAACAATATATATATATATTAGGAGGATGATAAGGCGAAAGAGAAAGACAAGACTCTTGTTGCACTAAACGTCGAAGCCATACTGAAGGAAATCCAAAGGATGGGCGAAGGGTTGATTACCAACATCACACTCCAGGAGTAACGCCTGTGTAGCGTTTCGTTGCTATCCCTTCCTGGCATGCGAGGAAACCACTTGGTCAGTCAAGGGAGACCCGCTACCAGTAGACGTATGATATTTACCTCAGCCTGCGTGCTTCCGCTTTTGCAAACCCATCTCAGACTCAGACTCGCTCGTATCCTGCCCTCCTCTTCGTCTGGTACGTTTCCTCTTCTTCTTCGGCTCGTGTTCCTTCAACGTCTGCTGAGACTGAGTCGCCCTGAGTTTACGGCCACGTTCTTTGACTGACGCAAGACTTGACAAAGAAAGTGTTTTTGTGTCCGTGAGTTTTTTACCCCTCCTCTTTGGGACTGGAGGTGGAGGAGGCGAGGGAATACGTTCTTTATGAGGCAAATTAGACTTGCTCCAAGAGAAGAGGAAGGTGGACGGGAC